ATGCAGTAAAGGAGATGGACACAGAAAAGAACCATGTGTATAAGAGACAGGAGAGAGAGAGAGAGAGAGAGTGAGAGTTTTGCCTGGTGACCATGAGGGCAGTCGTAGCTGCCAAGCTCGAGTGACCAGTTGTATATAATATTGCGGTTGCAATTCATTTTCAAGTGTGCTTGTGTCAAGTGAACATTACCTGTTTTGTGTGTCTGATGCATGCATGTTGGTGTGAAGTAAAGCGGGTGTGAAAATGAGATTCGTTGCACTGTTATCACAACAGACTCTGGTTGCCGTTGATAACATGAAGAAAGCGGCCAGCAGAGGGGAAGGAAGACAGCGCGTAGCACGACAGAGCTGGCAGGTGAAGAAGCAGCGTGCATCTGAAGAAAGTAGTGTGCACATGAGGAAGCCGCGAACTGGTGAGGAAACTGTGAGCGCGTGAGAAGACGGGTAGGATCTAGAGCATCCTAGTGCAGCTGGAGGAAGCCCGGCGTGATTGAGAAGAGATTAACGGGCGTGCATGGGGGAAAGGCAGGTGGGATAGGAAGAAAGCGGACGACCATGAAGAAGACGGGTGTGTGTGACGAGAAAGGCACGGGCCAGAAAAAGGTCGAGGTGGAGGGAAGGAGTCACGAATGAAAGAGAAAGTTAGTGTGTGGGAAGGAGGGGCTGACAGGTGGAGAAGACCGTGGGCTCGCTTGCGAAGTGGAAGGCCAGCGGGAGACGAGAAGAGGCGGAGTTGTACAGAAATGAAAAAAAGAGGTTTCGGGATTGATTGGTAAACCAAGGGTCAGCGAGTGAAAAGGACTTACGTACGGCGAACAGCGAGCTTACCTCCAGTAGCTGATGCCACCGATAAGTCCTGAAGTGAAGCACCTCGCCACCCTAAGCCTTTTTTGTTTTTTGGCCGGGTGCATCGCTGTGACGATTGGATGTCGGTCTTTCCTGGATCGAGCTCCAGCCGTCGTCGTCAATTTTGTTGATATCAACTACGTCCCATGTTTATAGGAGGATTGCCTGTCTAGATAAGTAGGGTCAGCCTGCAGAGTGCAGTACTGTGTCAAATAACTGCACAGTGCATGAGTGGGGGGTGCTTTTGAAACAACCTGTTTATCCCCAAGGGTACTGACCGACATGGAAATGAACCACGGGCGCACGTGAGGTGACCAGACTCTTTAAGTATGGAGGGGGAATGGAAATACCGCTTGCGGCGCTTGGCGCTCCGTCCTATCTACGATGGTAAGGAATTCTTGATGCCCTCCAGGCTGTCCTTAAACTGTGTGTGTCCTGTCTATAGCTACAGCAGGCTTCCATAACCGGGTAGTTGAGTCAGTCCAAGGTAAGTCAAAGAGCTAAGTAGACTCGGTCAATGCCATGTGGGTTAAAGTCAGGAGGTCCTGAAGTTAAATTCAGGGTAAGGTTAAGTCTAGAGGTTGTGGAGCGGGGCCCATCCGGCGGACTATTGTGTGTGTCCTCCAAAATGGATGACTAGCCCATGTTCACCCTTCTAGCCTTTTCTGTTCTCTTCCAACCTCTACTCTGGTTCCTCTTTCCCTTGGGATTCTGGCGCTAGGTGCACTTACCGGCGATAGGCGGCCATCATAGCAGGAAACAGACCTTGCGGCTAAGGGATCCGGGATACCAAGAACCGACGAAGAAGAGGAGACGATGCAAGATCGGGGAAGAAGAAGAAGAAGGAGATGGAGGCTAGAAGAGAGGGGGAGGAAAGACAGAGGAAGCCAGGGGATTGTCTAGTAGTGGGACCCAGGCTTTAGCGGTAAGAACAATACCTTAGTTATCAATTTATTTTTGTAAAGCAGATCTTAATTGTTGGTTAAATATTACTTGACGTACTGGAGTAGAAGCATACATGCTTATTTTTTTCTCCTTCAATATTTTCACATATATTCCAATAGTCATATGTTACAGATCTTGTACCCCTAATATTGCATTTCAATAGGTGATTGGTACAATATACGATGTTATAGGCTTATACCTTCTATGTTTTTAAATTTTAACCATAAAGAAGTATAAAGATGGATGTTTCTTTCTACTCTTGCTTTAATCACATCTTCAAAACTAGCCAACGATGGCATTTGATTAAATTTCAAATTTGTATGTTTTTCTAAGCATTGTCCTTGATAGAAATAAAATTTTATTTGGAAATCTTCAAGTGTGCATTGAGCCTCACTGCTCGTCACCTTGAGCACACGCATATACACATTGCGAGATCACACGAAATTCACACTGGAGGCCAGAGATGTAAAGTCCAGAATAGCGCAGCTTAGAAATTCTAACAAATTGTCCTTTCGGACATCCGTTAAAATTGCAACGATACAGAGACCGAAGATTAGCATGGCCCCTGCGCAAGGATGACACGCATTAATCGAGAAGTGGTCCAAATTAAATTAAAAAAAAAAATAAAAAAATTCTAACAAATTGTCACATTAAACAGTTTCGGAGATCCAGTCACCAAGTGCTCAACAGCGCAGAGTTCAGCAACTCAATTCCAGCAACCTCATCCAAGGTAAGTGACTTTCTTCTCTCTCTCTCTATCCCTCTCTCCCTGTCTCTCTTCTCCTGCTGTCTTCTTCATGCATGCGCTCACTCTCCCCCTCTGCTTCCTCTCCCTCTCTCTCTACTTGAGGATCTTGACTCTGAATACATCCCATCCCTCTCAGCTCTATCTCCTATCACTAGCTATGTGGCTCTGGCCGCCTTTCCTCTCAGCACAGCGCTGCCCAGCAGGGCTCCCGCTCATGCCACTCGCAGATAGCGGACAAGCGCTTCAGCAGCACCTCCACACTTCTCACAAATGAGCAATCTGTACTTTGGGATGTGACTGTTGACCGGGTGCCTGTTCGGACTTTACCCCTGAACACCCGACTGTGACCTTGCTGAACTGGCCGACTGCGCCTCCCTTGGCCTGAGACCTTGACTGTTGCATACCGTATAGGTGCAGACCAGAACAAGAACCGACCTTTCAATACAAAGTATAAAATAGCACAGCGGAAGACTTAGATACCAATGATCCGAAMAATCAATATTGCAATGCAGCCCCAAACATACATCATCATCCTCATTCCATGGTGTGAAGGGGTCTGGCGCTTCACACAGGAAGACTGCGCCAGCCCCAACCATACACAGACGAAGGAGATGGGGGTTAGACGAAGAAGAGGGGAAGATGGGAATGTCGTCARCACCAAGTGTTCAGCACAGGCCCAAATAGTCCCTCGTCGAAATGCCCGAATCCCAAAGGTCGAGTCTGGATCCAATGTCGTCAAGTCTCAAGTCACAACTCTCTCTCTCTCTGTAGTAGTCTGCTGATACTGAGAAGTCAGGTGGTGAGAGGGGAAGAAGAGATGGTGGACATAGAGGAGGAAGAAGAAGAACTCTCTCTCTCTCTCTCT